AATTAATAAAGATATTTAACCCCTCTAAATTAAAAGACGTATTGCAATGGGAAAGTCTGCTGTTAGGGACCTCTCCAAAGTACTGAAGAGCAATGGTGTCACTCTGGAGACTAAGGTGCACCCAATACAGGCCATGGTCTTTGCAATCAATTATGTGTCAGAGAGCTGGACAATGACTAGGGTGACAGAAAAAGAATTGATGCCTTTGAGCTGTGGTGCTGGAGAAGAGTATTGAATGTACCATGGACTGCTAAGAAAACAAAGAGGTTCATCCTGAAGAGGGTTCAACCAGGCTACTCCTTGGAGGCAAGGATTCTGAGGCTTCATCTGACATACTTTGGACATGTTGCAAGGAGGAACCAGTCCTTGGAGAGGGACATCATGTTTGGGAAGGTGAGGCACAGTGCAGAAGGGGAAGACCCTCTATGAGGTGGATTGATTTAATTACTGGTGTAATTGGGATGGGTGTATCGGAGACAATGTGAATGGCACAGAATAGAGCAAGGTTTAGGGCTGTTGTACATAGGGTTGCTATGAATAACAGGTGACTCGACAGCACACAACAAATATTTTTTACCCCATAGAGTTGAACAGAGATTATGCTTTTTAGGATCCAAGAAGAAATTAACTCCAAATTTACCCAAGAAAATGTAGTTCAGTGCCATTGGCTTTAATGAAGAGATTGCTTACAGAGATCTGTGGGAACGAAAGGATGAGAAAGTCTGAGAGTGAGGGTAAGCAGTTGTCCCAGTTTACCTGGAGCTGAGGGCTTTCCAGAACTTGAGACTCCCTGGGCCAAAGCAATAGTCACACTTGTGAAATGAGGATGCTTTGGTCACCCTCTGTAGAGCTTTAGTGGGCTGACCAAATTCTAGAGATATTGCAACTATGAAAGAGGGATCACAGAATCTGTCACCCTGGAGGGATGTAGCCACTGTGGGAGTCAGTGTTAGAGTGAGGAAGAAATTTTCAGTCTCTCTCTCCTTCCCTCTGATCTCCTGTCCATTTCATCCATTGACTAACTAACTGTCTGGAAACCAGGGAGCAAGGGAACATCCTGAGAGCTGGTCCCCTGGGAAACAGGGCAGGGCAGCAGAGGATGGGAAGGAGACAACCAAGGGTTGGGTAGCGTAGAGATGAAGTGTATTATTTCCTGTTAAGTGTTTAAGTCACTGTTATGTACTAAGTGTTTAGGAAATGCTGGTTATGATAATAATTCTACTACCCACCTGCCAGTTTTTCATATTGTGATGGTTTGTGTGTTACTATGATATTAAAAAGGTAGATATTTGGTATTTCAAATATCAGCAGGTAGAGGATAGGTTTTAGACATGATGCCAGACTAAGCAGATTATGCATAGCCCCTTAAAACAGAGATTTTCTTTATGTTTGCAGTGGAGATACTAGGACACCATCCTGATGATCTAATTCAGAAAATTAGCCAATAAGAACCTGAGCATCACAAGAGAACATTGTGGGATAAAGTACTGGAAGATGGGGACCCTAGGTTGGAAGGAACTCAAGATGCAGAGTGGCCACCACAGTACACTTGAGCACACCAATGATTGTGATGATGGTATGTGACAGGGAAGACTTTTGTTCTGTTATTTGTGGTGATATCATGAGTTGGAGCCAGTTTGATGCCAGCCAGGGACAGTGACGATGATAATAGCCATGACTAGGTCAGGAAACACTATCCTTCTGGGGTGTCAGAACCCTTGAAAATTGGCTTTTCTAGCCATTGATATTAGGTCCATCGAAGGTGGGGGGTGGCATGGCTTCCAGCTACCTTAACTGTGGATACATGGGACTGCAAATCACCAGCAGCTGTGGGATCAATAGAAGAGGATACTTTCACACTGTGAAAAATGGTGGTTGAGAGAAGGTGAAGAGACTGGTAGAAGGTGAAGAGATAGTGGCACTTCTGTGAAAAGATTGTGGCAAGATGCAATCAGAGGAACCCTGGAGATAGAGCCAGAGTTAAAGGTTTTGCTTGGTGGATGATTGAAGAAAAACTTACTTATAATAGCTTTGAGATAAATCTTGCTGGACAACTGAGGAAACCAGAGGTTTATTTGTGCTGCTGAACTGAATCTGGACTTTCACTAGTTGAAGAATTATGTGTTGCTGTTAATCTGGTTTGGGACTGCTGGATTAAGCTTGGACTTGTCTTGTGTGATATTCTTTGTCTCCGCTACTCCCCAACCCATTTTCCTAATAAACCCCACAATTGTGAGCAAAGTCTATGAGTCAATTAGCAACAAACGTTGGACACAGTGATTGGTAGAAATAGGTACAGGAGCATGAGCGTGTGAGGTGGCATGTCTGACCAAGTAGCTATTTGTATGGTACTATGGATGCTATTGATAGGGAAAGTTCCCATATATGAAGCAGGTAGAAGCCAGACTTGGCCACCTCCATGTTGTGTTTGCTTCTTTTACACCCTCCATGGGAACTCTTTGAAGGCTATGGCTCTGTCATCTCCATTCCTGTGTCTTTCCTAGTGCTCAGCACCAAGTCTGACACCAGTGCTGATGAATGATCATCTCTTCTGAGCAGCAGCATCCACTTTTCTCCATTCTTCTGTCCTGCTGGCAGAGAGGGACTCTGGGCAGGTGACAATCTCCAGAGAAATCAGTAACACTAGGTAGTGGTCTTCTCTTTCTGTGAAGAGCCCAAGGAAGGACACCATTATCTTTGGGCAGCAGGAAGATTTAAACTCGAGTGTCCTGTGTTAAGTGGCATCAAAGGCTGAGAAAAGGCAGAGTGACTTCCACATCCTTTGTGCTGTGGCCAGTGAGCTGTCTATGTGGTTGAGAAGCAGGTTGTCTCCATGCAGCCTCTGAGAGCTCCATGAGGAGGACTGGTGCCCTAGCACAGAGAATGTGCTGGATAAATAAGTCGGGATGGGATGACTTGGACGAGTGATTGTCAGTCTTTGGGGTGGGGTGAAGTTTATGTTTACAGCTCGGCTCCCACTCCCACCTCTACGCTGCGGCTGTGACTCAGAGCGCTGACATCACTCCCTGGCCCATGAAGCCTGCAGGCACATCCTGGATGCGAAACCCCACTCATGCCTGTCCCACGCTGTGATAGAGATTAGTGTGGCTGGGAAAGTGATCACAGCCTTAGGGAAAGGAGGCAAAGGTCATTGGGAAGTGACAGCTCAGTCTTAGGATCTCAAGCCTTTGCTTTTCCGAAGGGCTTCCTTCCCTGGTATGTATGCCCTTGTTATAGGAAATGAGGAAATGAGGCCCAGAGAGGCTAACAGTTGCTTGAGGCCACGCAGCTTTCTGGTGCTCCACTTGCCAGCTAGGGGCCCCCAGATGTCTGGAACCCTCACTCCAAGCGGGAAGAAATCTTCTTGGCATTAAGAGGCTAACCAGGGATTAAGGGCTAACAAAAGCAAAGTGACGTTCCATGTACCATATCTGGAATGGGTGGAAGGAAGGGGCTCTCACTGCTATTACCTATAGGGCTGGATTCAACTTCATCTGACAATTGAGAGATATTTACAACCTTCCAGTGACACTAGAGAAGAGTTCACAGTCCCTTTTGAGCTCCCAGACTGTGTGTGACCTTCTGCCTAGATCTCATCTCATGCCTCCTCTCCTTCCTTGCTGTTATGTGACAAATAGCACAAGTGCCTATGTCTGCTTCCCACTGGGTCAGTTCCTCTTGGTAAGGAGGGAAGAGATGCTCTTTAAGAGTCCCCACTTCAATCATTCCCTCACCCCTAACATTTTTAGTCTCTAAGTCTTCGCTCTGCACTGGGTTTGGTCTAGGTAGTTATGCTGGGCAGGGTGGTGAGGGGACTGTGTAAAGGAACTCAAAGAGTCTGCAATCCTTTCTGGGTTCCTTGTGAGCAGAGGAATATAGTAACAATGGTCGTGCTTTGTGGGTCTCTTGGGTCTGTTCCTATTTCAAGTCAGGATGGAATACATATTCCACCCACTCTTAGCTTCCTCCTGATTGTTCTCTTCCAAGGAGGCTCCATCATGGGGCAAGTGGTCAGGTGCTGGCTGAAGCCCTCTGCCTCCTCAGCTCTGGACCAGGGGGCTTTTTCTCCAGGCCCAGGCTCAGGAGCAAAGGTCTTTTCCTGAGTCCTCATCCAGTGCCAGAGCGCTCTGGTGGCTTAGTGGTAAGGAGTTGGATTACCTACCCAAAGGCAGACGATTTGAATCCACTAGCTGCTCTGTGGGAAAAAGATGGGCCCTCTCCTCCTGGGCAATTTACAGCCTCTGAGGGTCAGCTGTGAGTAAGTTCTGACTTGACGGTACACTACCACCACCATCACCACAACAGGGAACAGGTTTGTGGTCAGTCAGGGACCCTCTTTCTGCTTTTATTAGCCACCTTGCCCAGCATGAGTCTTCACTCAGCCATCTGTCAGTGACAAAACAACAGACTGCCTCCACTCTGCCACCTGTGCCCCCCACTCTGGACCTGCTGGGAGACAATGAGGCTGTGGGCTGGGAGGGTGGGACTGGAGCAGGCCTGGGCACTCTCTCCAGCAGCCTGTTGCCCAATGTGTCTTCCTTTACCACCTGTGTTGCCCCAGGCCCTGGGGCTTTGGCTTGTGAGAGGGAGCTGGGACAAACCTCAGAGAAACAGAGCTTCTTTGATGGTCATGACCAGGGCTGGGTGGGAGGAGACCAAACCAGCTAGTAGGTGGTGGGGACACTTTGTGGGAGAATGTATCATCCTGTATCAGGGGAGGAGAGTCTGAGGGGGCAGAAGGTGGCACTCTGCCCCAGACAGTCTCGGTTGGGTCTCGGGTGATAACTGAGAGCAGCCCCTCCCTCCTGCTGGAGGAGGGGGCACTCCCCAGGCCCACAGGGCTCCTCCCTCGCTTCCCTTCCTGGGGCAATGGAGCAGGAGTGTCTGTGGATCTTAGGTGCCGGCTGGGTGAAGATAAAAAGCCCATCAAGTGGCACAACTCACTGTGCATTTTACCAGCTCCAGCGCCCAGCTCAATCTGCTCTGTCCCTCCAACAGCCATGAGATCCTCAGTGTCTAGGAAGACATACTCCACCAAAGGCGGCTTCAGCTCCAGCTCTGCGGGTAGAGGGGCTGGCTCCCAGATACGGACCAGCTACAGCTCGGTCACCACATCCCGGAGCAGTGGCAGCTGTGGGGGAGCCCACTACAACCCAAACAAAGGTGGCTTTGGCAGCCGGAGCCTGTATAACTTGGGAGGCAACAAGAGCATCTCATGCAGTGTGGCAGGAGGGACCTCCTCAGGGCGGGCTGTAGGGGGCTTTGGCTTCAGCAGTAGGGCCTTTATGGGCCTGGGGGCTGGCAGGCAGACATTCGGGCCTGTCTGCCCTCCTGGAGGGATCCAGGAAGTGACTGTCAACCAGAGCTTGCTGACGCCTCTGAACGTGGAGATCGACCCTGAGATCCAGCGAGTGCGCACCCAAGAGCGGGAGCAGATCAAGACCCTCAACAACAAGTTTGCAGCCTTCATTGACAAGGTGTGCTTGCTGCAGTGGGTGGGCAGGAGGAGAGGGCCTGGGGGTAGCAGTAGGGCCACTCAGAGAGGGAAGGATTGGGAAAGGCCATTCAAGCCTCATATGCACCGGGATGGAGGCTTGATGGGGAATTATCCTGAACCTGGAATAATAAGATGTGAACAGTTGCATTTTAGTTTTCTGGCTTTTAATATATCTGCTCAGGTGAGTCCTCCATAAGGACTATTGGCCAGGCCTGCTATGTTGGAATCTTTACTGTGGTCATCATTAATATGAATTCACAGTACTGTAATGCCATAACGAAACGATGAATTGATCTTATTGTTCCTCTTAGTGGGTGGTCTTTGTTGTCTTTTGCCATTTTACAGCTAGGGGAAAAAAAAATCTGTGGCTCAGAGATGAACAAGTTACCCAAGGCTGAGGGCATGGAGCTCCCTGGATTGTAACCCCTGTTTCATAGCCTTGATGGGGCGTAAGGGATAAAGATATAATCAGGACTCAACAGGGTTGGTGTCAGGGATAACTCTCATTGCTTCTCCTGTTCTTTCTCCCTATTTGATTCATCCAGGTAGCTTGGCTTGGGGTGAGCTATGAAGAATAGGTCATAAGGCCACATTGCTCTGGGGATGTGAAGTTAGATCTGTTTAACTTCAGATTGGAAATACCCTAACTCCATTGTTTCTCCATTGACTGGGGCAGCTCTCCTTTTGTTCTAGAGGATCTTGGTCCATTTTGCTGGCAGTGTCCATGCTGGTCCTAGGCCCCGGGCAATGAGATCTTGGTAAATGGTCATACCTTGATTCATTGATTTGTATTTTCTCAAAGGACCTTCCCGCCTCTTTTCTCATGTGCCATGAAGTGTCAGGATAGATGATGCTTTTCCTGCTTTTAAGGGTAGTGAGGTTAATTAAATTTTTCCAGGATTGCATAGATACCTGGAGGCAGAGGTGGAAGTGGGTCCTAGGCAGTGGATTCCAGTGGAAGTTGAGTCTTGCAGTTCTGGAGACCTCCCTAAGGTCCTTGACATGATGCACATGACAGGTGCAGTGTTGCTTAGTGTTCCCGGGCCACGTGACTGTCTGGGTGTGGAGGCGGGACCCTGGGAGCCTGGACGACAGGGAGTGAAGCAAGCTGGTCCACCTACCCTCCTCACCTTTCCCCTCACTGACTTTTCATTCTTATGTAGGATGGTCTCTAAGGTTACACAAACAAAATTTTCCCATCTCAGGTTGTCAGTTACGATCTGGGAGCTGGGACATTGAGAGATTGCCTAGTTGTCCCTGACCCATGACCCTGACTGAATCTCATTTCTGAATCTGGGCTCTCTTTGAGTTTAGAAGGCTCAAGCTTTGGTGCTTAAGGAAACTCTTCTTCGGGGAATAATTTTTAAAGTTATATAAAAGTTGTATAAAGACTATGAAATTCTCTTGCATATCATTTTCTCCATCTTCACTAATTGTTAATATTTTGCCTTATTTGTTTTTTCTCTCTCTCTTTACACATATACGTGTGTATATATGTGTGTGTGTGTGTGTGTATGTATGCATACACATATAAATTTGAATTTTTAACAGTTGATTCTGATACAGAGTTAGGATTCAGGAACATTCACCTGGTCCAGTTTACACCAGGTAGTGAGAAAGCAAGACCAGGAAGAACTGACTTGACTAAACGTTACCTACTTGGACTTTTACCGTAATTACCTCTTTAGAATTCTTTTTCTCCAGTTGCACTGCCATTTCCAACTAAGCTTGCTTCTCTCAGCAAGAAGTAGGTCCTGCCCTGGACTTTCGGTTCCCAGGTCTGTGATCTGTGGTCTGTGGTGATAACAGACAGCTGTTGGGAGGTGGTGGGCCCTGTCCTTGACCTCTTTTACAGCTGTCCCGGTGATGGTGCCCACTCACTTTTCTTACTCTGTCTCAGGTGCGCTTCCTGGAGCAGCAGAACCAAGTGCTGGCGACCAAGTGGGCACTGCTGCAGGAGCAAGGGCAAAACACAGGTGTCACCCAGAACAACCTGGAGCCCCTCTATGAGTCCTACATGGGCATCCTGCGGCACAGGCTGGACAATATGCAGGGCGAGCGAGGGCGGCTAGACTCAGAGCTGAAGAGCGTGCAGGATCAACTTGAGGACTTTAAGAACAAGTGAGAGGGGCTGGACAGGCCAGGCCTGGCAATCACTGGGGTGGGGCGGGAGGGCGGGAGCAGCATGAGGGGTTTGGGGGAGTCACAGAGCTGGTTCCCTTAGGCATTCAAGCCCAGGACCCACTGCTTCCTGAGCTGTTAGGTTGGTTTGTAACAATTTCTTAAGTTTATGATAAAAATGTAAGTATTCATAAAAGTGGAGAGAATCATATAATGAACCCCCGTGTTCTCATCGCTCCACTTTAGTAACTATCAACTCATAATGAACCTAGCTTCATCTATATTTTTACCCACTTCTGAAGTCACAGCCATTACGTCATTCCGTTCACAAACATTTTACAGGACCTATTCATATACTTCATGTGTTTACCTTGATTTACCAAGACATAGAGACAATAGCACAATTATGACTAAAATTCTTAAAGCAATAGTCCCGCAAGATCCTATTCAGTTGCTGTTAGTTGTCCAATTGTCTCGCAGGTAAAGTTCATACATATATTATGAACGGTTAATATGGTTGATTATAATAATTATGCACAATTTTAAACAACTCTCTCCATAATTTGACACTGACAATTTCTAAACTTAACAGCAAAAAAGCAGTTGGGGAGGAATTCATCACTTCAAATGATGTGCCTTAGAAAGTAAAGGCAAAGGTTAAGCAGTGTTGACAGAGCGTCACCTGTTCTTGTAAAGCCTCGGGAAGGGCTTTGATCCAGAGACGTGGCTTGTCTGATTGCCCTGTTATTGCACAAATTCTGTATCCCTTTCTCAAAAGGGGCTGTGAGAACTGTGGGAAAAGAATATTGAAGTAAAGACAGGATCTCAAGTTCCTTCTCTAGTTGGCTGCATTGAAGAGCTGTTCCCCAAAGGAGAGCTCAGGAGACATGGGGCCCACCAGGACTTCCTCCAAGTTGAGTGACTCCAAAGCCTCATACGCAGAACAGGGCTGAGTCCAGGTGCTTGGGGTGCATTTTAGTTTGCCCCTAACTATTAATTTAGAATGAATTATACCTGGTGATCTGTTTCCACGAAGCTTATAGCTAAGGAAATATTCCTATAGAACAACTTTACTTTTTAACTGTAGGGTCTCTATAAGTCAGAAAAGGGGAGCTCTGGTGGTGGTGTAGTCCATAGAGAGTTGTGGTTCAAATCCCCTAGTAGTTCCGAGTGGGGAAAAAGGCAATTCCTTCTCTGTGATTTATAGCTCCATACATCCAGTGGAGGTCAGTTAATGAGTATTTTTCGACTCAAAGGCAATGTGCTTTTTGCGTGTTTTTTTCTTCTTCTTTAGTTTATCAGCTGGAATCAATTCCATAGCAAAAGGTTTGGCTTTTTTCTTTGGGCTGAGCCCAACTTGAGACTTGCGTGTGTTATAGGTACGAGGATGAAATCAATAAGCGCACTGCTGCGGAGAATGAGTTTGTGGTGCTCAAGAAGGTAAGCCAGGGAGGTTGGGAGTGGACAGGGGCAGCATTCTGTTTTCCAGAGCGCCAGGTTGACGCAGAGAAGGAAGAGTCCTGGCCCTGAGCTCTCTGCCTTGCTCTTGTCCCCAGGATGTGGATGCTGCTTACATGAGCCGCACAGATCTGCATGGCAAAGTGGGCTCCCTGGCTGACGAGATCGACTTCTTTCGGCAACTCTTTGAACTGGTGAGCAGCTCACTGGACAAGGGGAATTTGTGTACACATATCTACAGCCTTGAGGATTCTTCCTAGAGGTCTGATCAGAAGTCAGAGCAACGTAAATGGGAGAGATGGAAACTTGACCTTTTTATTATTGTTATTATTAACAATTTCACTGCATTGAGTGACTATAGTGTGCTAGGCTTTTTTATAATGCTCTCTAACAACTCCATAATGTAGGTAATACTATTGTCTTCATTTAATATTTGAGGACAGAGAGTCTCAGAGTAACTTGCCTATCATCATGTAGTAAGAGGCAGAGCCAGAACTGAAAGACTCCATTGTCTACGGTCATGTGGAGGGTACTCAGCCCATGTCTCTCTGTTGTTCTCAGTAAATGTTGCCAAATAAACAAGTAATAGCAAAGGAGAAAAGAAACCACTGGGCACATCAGATACATGCCTTGGATAATAAGGAAGCCAATTCTAGAAATGAGAAAGAGTGAGAACCATGACCTGGTCTGTCTTGAGCTTCCCTTTCTTCTCTAGCATTTTACCCTTTACATCTTTTCCGTGCCATGGCTGTTCTTGATGGAAAAGAGGAAAATAACATAGTGGCTAAATTGTTGAGTTTTTCTGAATCTTCTGTAGGAATTGGTTCAATGACACCTCCTTTGTTTTGGTCTAGAATTTATCTAACAGCTCTTTGCACTGGCCACATCTCTTCCAGTTCACAGTTGTCTATTCCGTGTTCCTTCCATTATTTCTAGAGGCTCAGTCAGGTGGGAGCTTGCTGGAGAATGAATAATCTGTGTCACCATGTTGATTTTTAAGGTGTCCCTCAAATTTATTCTTTACTAGAATTATTGATGGTCATTCACTGTTTAAATAAAAGAGAGACAAAAACTTCTATAGCCAAAACCAAAACTCAAAAAGCCGAAAGCTACTGCCATCCAATTGATTCCAACTCATAGCAACCTTATAGAATAGATGGCCCCTTGTAATCATAGGGTTTTTAAAGGCTGTAATCTTTATGTCTCATAAGCTTGGGGCATGTTATCAGAAGGGACCACCATGCTTGGTAAAGGAGAGAGTCAGAGAGAAACGAGAAAAACCCTCAAAGAGACAAAAAGATGGGTTGACACAGAGTCTGTGATGGACTTAAGCAAGACAGTGATTGTGAGAATGGTGCAGGGTTGGGTAGGGCTTTATACTCTCGTTGCTATGAGTCACATCCAACTTGATGGCACCTAGCAACAATAACACGTCTTTACAGAAGCCGACTGTTATATCTTTAACCACAGCATTACAAGATCCATTATTGTTTAGGGTTTTCTTATTCCCTTCTCTGCGGTTCTGGTCTCTTTTAGGTCAAGCCATGTGTTCTTACTCTTCCTCACCTTTTCTGAATGTTTAGGAATTGACTGATTTCCTTGTTATCTCATGCTATTACTAGTTCATGTCACAACATTTACTGAGTACCTTCTACATGACAACAGAAAGACAGCCCTACTTCAGAACATCTAAAGTCTGGCCCCAGACTGTCATGTGGGCATGGAGACAAGGTGCTGAGGGGCATGAAGGAGTCTGTGACTGACCCTTTCTTTAAGAGTGGAAGACCGAGGAGGCTGGGTAGGTCTTCTAAGGGAGGTCAGGACAGGTTAACCAGCGAGGGGCCCCAGTAAGAGGCCCCATGTTATATAGACATCGAAGAGCATCGTGTGTTTCAAGAACAGTAGGCTTCTGGGCTTACAGTTGATGGGGAGAATTAGGTGCATAAGAGGAAAGGGAGGGAGCGTGGGCTAGAGAGCAAACCAGAGCTGCTTCCTGTCAAAGTTCATCACCTATCAGGGGTAGAAATGACAGCCAGTGCATCACCTTCCTATTTGCTTCACCTGCTTCATCAAATACATATTGGTCAGTGTGGCTATCAGATGCCCCACCCTTGGTGATGACCCTTCTGCCTTTTTTTCTCCTGTTATCTTCAAAGGGATGTTCTCCATTATCTTTTGTCTCTAGGACTCTTAGGTTCTAAGAAGAGACTTATTGCTATGGAGCTAACTCTGTTGCTATTTTAAGCTTGGCTGTCTTTCAATGGCTGATCTTCTAGAAACAGATGGCCAGGCCTTTCTTCTGAGGCACACCTGGGTGGAATCAGTCAACTTTTTGATTAGCAATTGAATGTGTTAATTGTTTGTACCATCCAAGGACTTCTAAGGAGATCCATACCTTAACTCACAGCACTCTTTCTTTTCCATTTTGAAGAGCTGCTTCTTTGGAAAGCCCAACTTTTTATTCCTTTGTTCTAGCAAGATCATTACTTGATCTACTTGTGGTGGTGACTGGTAGATAGTTTTTGCCTCCTTGTCTTAGAAATTCCAAATTAAATTCCCTGAGGACCACAGAGACCCTGAATTGAGGAGGTATGGAGGGGGTGTAACACTTCAAGACCATGTCACTGACAATCTGTCATGGATAAGAAAGAAGATCAATCGTGATTGTGACAAATAATATCATCTGTGACAAATGTGCCCAGTGGGAGAGAACTCTGGGCAAAGAGAAATCCATTTGACCATGGTACCATGGGCCATGTTTGGAACTCACAGAGGCCTTCCCACAGCAGCACGAAGAAGGTATTATGGCCATTTTATAGCACAGGAAATGGAACCAGATAAGCCTTTATGATACATGGCTTAAAAATCTCAGGCTGAAGACTTCAATTTAGGTTTGTCTGTCTTCAGAGCTCATGCCTTTCCATAGACTGTGAATCTTTCAGATTTTGCATTGCTTGTCCCTCTGAGATCTGCCCTCTTAATTACAGACTACTTTAATCCACTCTAAATTAGGTATCAGTTTTGGTTTTGGTATTTATTTTTTCTTTTCACTCTCTTTTGGGCTCTGGTGTCTGATCCCTAGGTTTGAAACTGGGTTGACACTTACCGACTCATAATTTGAGGCAAGTTGCTTAATCTCTTTGTGTTATTGTAAAAGACTATATAATGAGTTAGTGTACCCAATATAATGTCTGTAACTGTAGAAAGTGAGAATTACTGTGATCATTTATCTGTCTCTGTGGTCACTTTGTCTATGTGGAAGAGCCAGAAGATGCAAATTGCTGGAGACAGGTCCAAAATGCAGAATGTACTGACTTTTTAGAGGGAAGATTCTCTACCCATTGAAAGTTGATTGGGGTAATCTGTAGGTTGACCAGGGCAGGAGGAACCATGGTAGAGACAGAGGCAAAACTCCACTGAGGAAGACAGAATCAAAACCTAGCATTGGAGTTGTCTCCAAGGTTAGGACAGAGATCCTGAACTCTGTCACCTAGCCACCTTGTTATAGATCTTTAGACTCTTGTGTTATAGAGATGACATTTCTAGGCCCCTGATCATCAGTTAGCTGATGGTCCTAGTGCTGCCATTTCTGGATTAGAGTTGAAAGACTGAAGAATGAATTCTTGAACCACACAAGCTGAGGTAAGAAAGAACTTAAGCAAAGTTTATGGAAGAAAGCATAGAATGAAATTTCCCCTTGTGTTGGAGGAGTTCTTAGAGAAGGAAGCCCCTAGACTGTTAATATTGAGGGGCTTTATAGGCTTAGGGAAATCTGTGTAATTTTGCTCTGTCTCTACATAGTTAAAAAGATGCAACCAGAATGCTTCTTGGAAGCAAGGATGGTGAAGCTTTGTCTCTCATACTTTGGACATATTGCTAAGAGAGATTATTCCTTGGAAAGGATTATCATGCTTGGAAAGGTGGAGGGTCAATGAAAGAAAGGAAGATCCCCATGATGTGGATTGACATGGGGACTACAGCAATGGGTTCATTTCATGTGTATCAGAGATGACGAGGATGGCACAGGATAGGACAGGGTTCAGATCTGTTGTCCATGGGGTCACTATGAGGCATACTCAAGCCTACAGAACCTAACAACAACTACTACCTGGCAAGATTTTACCACTGCCTTTTGACCAATCACTGGGATTGGCATGTTGGCTTTCACTTCCATTTCCAGTCACTGGAGTGGGCGTGTGGATTTTCCTTGTTGCTTCTAATCACAGAAGTTGGCCTGTATACAGACTGTCTTTCCTGTCTCCAATCACAGAAGTTGGTACATAACCTTTTTCTGCTGCTTCTCCAAGTGACAATGAAGTCCAATCAACTGCTCGTGTGTGTTATCTCCTTGTGGATAGGACATGGGTGGAAGATTTCTTCCTGCTCTAAGACCTGCAATTCCCCTTCTTCTCTTTGCTGACCCTTTCCTCAGCCTCCTCTCTAATCTCTTTATTCCTTTCACTTGAAACACAGACAAGGTCCAAGAGTATCACAATGGTCGATAAAAATTCTAGAGGAAACCACTTGGGCTTTGTCACTCAAAGGAGTGACACTGGCTCTAGGCTGGACCTCATCCTTGTACCTGGTGACCTTGGGTGTGCTATTTCTTTTCTCTGAGTTTCTTTCTTTGCAAAGCAGGGATAGTTACAGTCTTTGGGAACAGTGTGAATGATGGTCCAGGTTTTTAGCTGGTTGAGTGGAAGGTGAGACTAGAATGTGGTCCACCCTTAGCTCCCCAGGCTATGATTTGGGCTAAATGGATCTTTTCCTAAATTTGTACAAAAATAACCTTGGGCCACCTGTGCCCTTTCTTGCTTTGAAGGATGTACTGAGAATGAAAGGGCCTATGTATGAGTTAGCCTAGTGCCCCGCACCCAGCTTCCATATAGTATTTGCCTTTTCTCTAATCTTTTGAAAGTCTGCAAATCCATAGAGAACAATGAAGTCCAGAACAGCAATGAAGTCTAGCCGCCTATCTCAAAGCTGTGGAGATTGAGGCTTTTCCTTGTACTTGTGGGTCTCCTTTGAAGGTGAAGCTTGAAATACAGCACAGGCCTCCTGATGCCAACTAGGGACACTTGTTGTCTCCCCTTACATGCCATCTTTAGGACCTGGGGTGGGGGTGCAGGTGGTAGCTATTTCTGTTTATGCAGGAGCGGAGCCAAGTGCAAACCCACGTGTCTGACACCAATGTGGTCCTGTCCATGGACAACAACCGTAACCTGGACCTGGACAGCATTATCTCAGAGGTCAAGGCCCAGTATGAGCTGATCGCCCAGAAGAGCCGGGCTGAGTCTGAGGCTTGGTACCAGACCAAGGTGAGGGGAATGGGCGGCTTGGGTATTTTTGGCCAGGGCTGGACACAGATCTTTTTCTTCTGTGGGCCCCTTGGAGTGGCCTCCATCCTTGAGGGTGGGATCCGAGGCCAATGCTCAGGCATGTGACCCAGGAACTACCTGATACCTATTGGTCATTGCTTTGCCCTCCAGTATGAGGAGCTGCAGGTGACGGCTGGAAGGCATGGAGACAGCCTGAGGGACACCAAGAATGAGATCGCTGAGCTGACGCGCACTGTCCAGAGGCTGCAGGGCGAGGTGGATGCAGCCAAGAAACAGGTGATGAGAACCTGGGTTCAGGTCTGGAGCCTGGTAGAGCGTCTCATTGTCATTCTGGGGTGATACTTGCTCTTTTTTTGATGGATGACACTCACGCCCTGTGTCATCAAAGCCAACATTCTCCTCTTACAGGGGCAAAGGCTTAAATAGGAAATAGATTTATCTCATGTGTCACACAGCATGTAAGTAGTAGAACAGGTGGAACAGCCTCCTCCAAGGATTCTAGACACATCTCCAGGAGGTCAGAAGGGGAGGCTGAGGGTTCAAGGCTCTCTAGGTCACAGCTGCTGACTTTACTCAAGGTATGGCTGAAAAGTATGGACTCCCTTCTGCTTAGATCAGAGTGAAAACAGTGAGTTATTGATGAGATTGTTGCATTATTAGAAACAAAATCTCTGCTGAGGGACTAGGCTGACTGTAGTGGGAGGGACAGAAGTTAGACTTCAGAGGAAACTTTCCCAGCAGTACTACATGGTCCTGCTTCTGGAATAGCATCTCCTTGCAGATGACGATTTCCCCATTCTTTCTTTTCCATTTGGTTAGGGCAAGGGGATGCAAGGGAGATGGCAGTGCCTAGCTTGATGGCAGCACTGGAGAGAGGATGATTCTGGGGGTTTTGCTAACACCTCTCACCCTCTGGGCAGTGCCAGCAGCTGCAGACGGCCATCGCAGAAGAAGAGCAGCGTGGGAACCTGGCACTCAAGGATGCTCAGAAGAAGTTTGGAGACCTCGATGTGGCCCTCCATCAGTCTAAGGAGGTCCTGGCACGGCTACTGCGTGACTACCAGACCCTGATGAACGTCAAGCTGGCCTTGGATGTAGAGATCGCCACTTACCGGACCCTGCTGGAGGGCGAGGAGAGCCGGTGGGTGTCCCGCTTCTCAGTTCAGTGGGCTTCCCAGTGCTGCTAGGCTAGGGAGCCGGTGTAATCTAGTGGTGAGGGCTGGGCAAGCAAAGGGGGAATCTGGAGGCTGAGCTCCCAACTCCTCATCTCCTGCCTGTGTTCGTGGCATCTGCTTCTTCTGGTTTGGCATAGTCTTCCCACTGTTAACCCCAGTGCTCATCGACAGCCAAACAGAGCTGAGAAGATGGAGCTCTCCCTTTCAGCATCAGGTTTACCTTGTGCCGGGAGTGCTCACCTCCTAACTGTTAACCCGAAGGTTGACAGTTGGAATTCAGCGGTACTACAGAAGGCAGGCTGCTGGTGATGTACTTCCATTAACACAATGCTTTGCAAACCTTACAGAGCAGTTCTACTCTGTAACATATGGGTTACCTTGAGTTGGAAGAGAGATGGTGGGTGAGGTTTTTTGTTTGTTTATTTTGTTTTACGACAGGTAAGATGTAGTGAGAGAATTACTTTAGTCAGAACCTGGGCAGCTCCTCATGGTGACGGTTGTCTCCATCCAAGCAGGAGACATGGGGAGGGAGAAGCGACATGTCCCAATGACAGCTCTGCTTTCTCTGCAACCGTAGGAACGGATGAAAGATCCATGATGCCTAGCATAGGCATTATTATGAATTTTTTTTGGTAGTAAATATATGTATTATAAAATTTGCCATTTAAACCATTTGAAGTGCACAATTCAGTGGCATTAATTATACTTATAGTGATGTGAATAAATCACTATTCATTTCAAAAAATGTTTTATAATCTCAAAGAGAAACTCACTACCCATTAGAGACAATTCCTTACTGCCTTCATCTTCCGGTGTGGGTTCAGATGCTCTGCTGCCATCTAAAAGGCTGGAGGTTTGAATATCATCCAAAGGTGCCTCAGTGAAAAGCCTGGCGATCTACTTGTGAAAAACCAGCCATGAAGAGCCCTGTGGAGCATAGATGCACCCTGTCACAAGGGGCCATCAGCCTCTCACTCACTCATTGCTGTTCCATCAGAACCATCAGTGTTGGCCCGAACCCTCTTGGGGGTTTCTGAGGCTGCAAATTGGACAGGAGGAGATGGTGCATCTTTCTCCCACGGAGCCATTGGCGGATTTAAACAGCTCGAGAGATGTAGTCTTTGAGTTAGCAGTACCACTTGAAATGTACCCCTCCATCAGAATTCTCTAGATGCTGCCGGGTCTACTGCATCTCATAGTGACCCTATGAGTAACAGAGCTGAACCTGGCCCCGTCCTGTGCCATCTTCATCATCTTGGATACACTTGAGTCCATCGCTACAGTCACTGTGTCCATCTTGTTGAGGGTCTTCCTTTCTTTCCCTGACCCTCTAACCTTTCCTAATATGATGCCCTATTCCAAGGACTGATCCCTTCCGACAATATGTGATAAGCATGTGAGACAAAGCTTCTTCATCCTAGTCTTCAAGGAACCTGCTGGTTGCACTTCCAGAATAGATTTGGCATTTTTTATTTCTGCAACTCATGGGATATTCAATACTCTTCACCAACACCTAGTGATCGTCAATAGCCCTTTGTCTCTATGCATTTGCTTATTTCAGAGATTTTATATAAGATGAATCATAGCTTTGTCCTCTTGTGCTTGGCTTATTTCACTTAGCATGCTGTTTACTCAGGTCATAACATGTACCAGAATTCCATCTCTCTCTATAATTGAGTAACGTTCTATTGCATGTATGATACACAACACATGTGCACACTTTCCATCGTTTCCTGGTCTTGCCTTCTAGGCATTTTCTCTACTGAGCTGATGTAATGAGTTGATCCATTGAAAAGACAGAGAGATAGAGCTTTCCCTTGAGTTCTTGGGACCACTGACCCCTTTCCCAATCTTTCTGTTTCCCCAGGATGTCTGGAGAATGTCAGAATGCAGTTAGCATTTGTGAGTATTTGCAGCCCAGACCCTACCTTGTCCCCCGCCTAACTCTAGTCCTCTGCTCATTCAATCTCCCCTTGGCTTCAAACACATGTCCCTCCATGAGTGTACCTGGGTCAGGTCTGGGGGTTCCAGATAATGTGCTGCCCACCTTGGGAACCTCTGCATTTCCCCCCCCGCCTCCACTGCCTGGTTCCTTTCCCACTCTCCTTCACTGACTTCTGGATGCTGTCGAGTCCTCCCTGGACACAGTTGTCCCAACTAACCCTGACTCTTTTGCTTTGCAGCTGTGACTGGCAACTCTACCACTGTGAGCGGAGGCAGAGGGGCTGGCATCGGAGGTTGCATCTCCCGGGGTGGGGGTGGTGGAGGCATCAAAGGTGATTTCAGCACCAATGTGGGGTATGGCTCTGCCAAGGGTGGTGTTGCCTCTGGGAGCACTTCCATCTTGCGGAAGACCACCACAGTGAAGACATCCAATCAGAGGTATTAGCTGCTGAGCCTTGCAAGTCAGAGTCCCTGCAAGCCTTTCCCTGACCTCCCCACCCACCCTCCCTATGAATAAGAACTGCCCAGAGGACTAAGGATATCATGTATATGCATGTGGTTTGCATTTGGGGAAGGTCTCAAATCTATCTAGGTTTTCTCCTTGGTTCTGCGATGGGATGGGATGAGAGAGGAGGTTAAAACCACTAGCTTGAGTGATGTCTGGTGACTAGGGGCCACCTGTAGATAATTGAGAAGGTACTTTCCCAGGCCATCTCAGCTTCCATATCTCCTTGGCTTATCTACTCTGGCTCAGAACGAGTAAGAGGAGGAGAGATGCAAATCCAAGATGGTCCCCCAAACTTCCTCTAACCTCCTGAGGTTTCCGCCCAAACCCCACCCTGAATCTACCCACACCCTCCTTCCCTGTCTGTGCCTGTGTTTCAATAAACCACTACAGCTAGCTCTCTGTGGTTCCAGAGTTGGTCCTGCCAAGGGAATCGGATTTGTGTTAGATGATTAATTTCTTGATGAAGCAGCAACACTACCACTAGAACAAATCACACGTCCTAACCACCAAGCCAAATGAGGAAGGTGGCCCACTACCTTCAGATACTCTGAACACAACACCAAACCCATTACCAATTCTGACTCATAGCAACCCTATAGAACAGCATCTTCAGAGTGATATCATCACTCTTCAGTATTTTGGAGAGGTCCCTGACAGCAGACTTACCCAATGCAAAACATCTCCTGATCTCCTGACCGCTGGTACCAAGCGTGTTGATTGTTGATCCAAGCATGATGCTATGACTCATATTTAGCTGGTGAGGAAATGGTAACTCACAGAAGTTAAGTCTTGTGCCCAAAGTTGTACTGCTGCTGAGTGGCGGATAAGTGATGTGCAGGAGTGCTTATCCCAAGTCCCTAAAGCCTCGACTTAGGTAGATTGATGTCCTTGGTATGAATTATTCCGTCTTAATGCTGTAGTGGACTCTCCTGTGTGCCCCCCACTCCCATGGCCGCCAGACTATTCAGTTTTCCTCAGAAAAGCCCAGGAAAGACCCATGAATTTTTCTGTTGTTTGAGACAATGTTGATCTCATTGCTGTCAAGTCAACTCTGACTTATGGTGACCCCATGTGTATCAAGAGGAGAAAGGTGCATGCATCATAAGGTTTTCAACAGCTGACTTTCCAGGAATTGATTGCCAACCATTTCTTCCAAAGAGGGGCCAGGTAGACTCAAACCTCTAACTTTTCTGTTAGCATGTGACAGCCTTTACAATTTTTGCTACCCAGAGACTGTGGGAATGCCAGCAGAGGGATTTTTGACTCAAATATTAAACCGCATGGCTTAGGAACACAAAGGCTTCTCATTTAGCAAACTCAGGTCCATATCATAAGCCTGAGTGGTGACCAGCTTCGGGAGGCAGGCCACTGACAAAGGGAGGCTTCTCTTCTCAGGCGGAAGGGCTGGGGGTGACGGATGGAGTGTAGACACCCTGGATATGTAGACACTTTAACTAATTTAATACTCACGATAGTCTGTGGTATAGGAGCCACTTTTACTCTCCTCTTGCAGATGAGGAAACTGAGGTACACAGCTGCTAAATAAGCAACTCAAACTTCGAATCACATACTTCAGACACGATGCTAGGAGAGAGGCTGTTCCTTAGAGAGGGACTTCGTGCATGTAAAGGAGGAGGGATGGCAAAGGAAAGGTTGTTGTTGTTGTTATGTGCCGTCGAGTCGTTTGCGACTGATAGTGACCCTATGTACAACAGCCCTAAACCCTGCTCTATCCTGTGCCAGTTGCATTGCCTCTGACACACCCATCCCGATTACCCCAGTCACTGAATCA